GCACCCCCTCTAAGGCGAGTATGTCCTTTCTTAAATAAGGAGACCAAAACTGCACACAATATTCCAGGTCCAGTCTCACCAAGGCCTCATACAACTGCAGCAAGACCTCCCTACTCTTGTACTCTAACCCTTTTTCATTAAATGCCAACATGCCATTAGCCTTCCTAGTTGCTTGCTGTACCTGCGTACAAATTGTTTGTGACTGGTGTGACTCAGACTTCTGTGCAAATTCCCAATTGACACTTTTCCTGTTCATCATCTCAGACATTCGACAGTTTTTGTTTCATCTGTACATTTCCAGGCGTGTTCCGTCTGCCTTTGGTGTGTTTTTTGTATGTTTTATGTTCATCTTGCAGTTGTCTCAGGTTTAAAGAAAAGTGTAAGTTATAGAAAAGATTTACAGATGTGCAAGTAGGATCACAGTAGTTATCAGTCAGCACGTCTCAGATGCTTCATCCACCAATCCACTCGCCTGGGCTTTACTGTGAATAATACTAACCCTTGATTTTGATGCAGCGCTTTATCACTCCTTCAAGATGTCTCAAAGCGCTTCACAGGATATACTGTAAAGTGAATTGACTATATTTTGTGGGCGAAATGTGGCAGCCAATTGCACACACCAGTGTTCCACAAACAGTCGTGGATTGAGTGACCACATTATTCTTTTTTAAAAAAAATTCAGGTGATTATTACCCCTGGAAAGTGATCTGCCAATCGACCTACAACCGGGTTTCTACTTACTGCGAGGTAAACCGAGGTGTGTGGAGTAAGGAAACTTACCTAACGTTTCACCTTATGCAAGAATCAAACCCAGGTCCTCTCGCTTGCGAGGCGAGTGCTCTAACCACTGAGCTACAGGGTTCCATGTGTATGAATGTCATAATAACACGTCCATTTGCAGTATATTCTGTGAAGCGCTTTGAGACGTCTCAAAGACGTGATAAGGCGCTATAGTAAATGCGAGGATTATCATTATTAGAGAAGATAAAAGTGTAACAATATTGTTATAATTAACTTAATTCCCATGATATGGGAATTCTGGAACCAGGTGGTTTGTGTATCTCCTACGCAAAATGAATTGACAGTGTTTTGGTGAAACATGGCAGCCAATTGCGCACAGTTGTAGATTGAGTGACCAAATTATTATTTTTAAAAAAATTCTATCTGAGGACTTCATAGTAGCTCCATCCTAAACACAGGTCACCTTCGGGAAGTGACCAACAATGGTAACAAATTACATTTACACAGCGCCTTTCATGTTGGGAGGACGTCCCAAGGGGCTGGACAGTCAGGGATTTGGACCCGAGCTGTGGGTTGAGATCAGGAGGGGTGGAGGGCTGGGAGGATGACCGAAGGGTGAAGGGTGGCCGAAGATACAGTTGCAGAGTGGAGCCTTGAGACTTGCTTTGAAGGAGGCAAAGGAGGAATGTGAAGTGATAGGAGATAGGAGGATGGGGAATGCAGCACTGACTGACAGAACGTCGCTACAATCCAGAGTGAGACATTAGTATATACCTCCACTAAACACACTGAGGCAGATTCCAAACCTGAGACCAATGACTCCAGACTCAAAGCTGGAAACCATCCAGAATTCAAATCCAGTAAAGATACTCACAGGGATCTTAAATCAGTTTTGGATGAAGGGGACCCTTCGACCCATTTGATCTCAACCTTTAGGAATACATCATCCTCCCAATGTAGCATTGAGCTGTTTCTGTAATAGCCTCTGTCCTGGCCTCTCTCCAGTGTACATAATCTTAATATGTTGAGAGTGTAATAAAAGGATTTACAATGTGGGTCTCAAAAGGATTATTAACCGGAGATTCCCAAAAGTGTCGCAGTCGGCTACTTTGGAACTCTTTAGATTTCAAGATCCTCACACGGTTTAGTGTCAGTTTAGGCCACTTGGCCCTTAGTGCCCACACCAGCCCTCGGTGCCAGCGGCCAGCTAACCAGTCCCTCTCCTCTACCTCTCACACTCTTTTATAATGTTTTCCTTCCAAATATTTATTTAATTCCCTTTCCTCTTTAGGCCCCACTATGTAATATAATAACAATGAGTTTGATTTTGAGCAATCACAGAAAGTATTCAGGAGCTGAGAGAGAAGTCAGTTAATGGCCGGAAGGAAAGCCAGGAAGCGTAATGCAGTAGAGTGACGTGGGCAAAGCTGATCATCTTTAATGTATAATAATAATCCTTGCATTTGATATTGCGCCTTATCACATCTTCAAGATGTCTCAAAGCGCTTCACAGAATATAAGGTAAAGTGAACTGACTATATTTTGTGGGTGAAACGCGGCAGCCAATTGTGCACAGCCGTGGTTTGTGTGACAGAATTATTATTATTATTGTTGTCTTTGAAGGGATTATTAGCCCCAGAAAAACGATCCATCAATCGACTAACAACCGAATTCCTATTTACTGCTGGGTAAGCAGAGGCATGTGGAGTAAAGGCTGTGGGGCAAGGCTGAGAATATTTAATAGTATAATAATAATCCTTGCATTTGATATAGCACCTTATCACATCTTTGAGAAGTGTCAAAAATTGCCCAACGTTTCGCCCTCACCGGGAATCGAACACCTGTCCCTCTCGTTTACAGGTGGGAATGGGGTCGGGGAGGGAGTGGGGATGACGTGTTTGGTAAAGTACATAAAGGAAAGTAATTTTCGTGGGACTTTCCAGACATACAACAATTTTGCCGATGGTGTTTCCCAGCAATCTCGCTGAATGTGAAACTAAAAACTCCAAAGTCAGTGCCAAATTCACAACCAAATTCGAGTCACGCCGATGAACCTTGTCATCACCAGTCATCTGTGTAACCACATCACAGCGCAGTAAACACAACACAAGTCCACAAAGTTAGATCCAAACAACAATAATAATAATCCTCGCATTAGATACAGCCCCTTATCACGTCTTCGAGACTCTCAAAGCTTCTGTGAAGCGCTTTGAGACGTCTCGAAGATGTGCGTGATAAGGCGCTATATCAAAGGTAAGAATTATTATTATTATTATAACCAACCTTTCACCTCGTGCACATGTGATTTCTTGGATTCCTATTTTGATGCTTTTCCCAGGAAAAACCCGGTACACAGTCAGAGTATAAAGTCCGAGATAGAACACGCCCAACGATTAGCTCAATTATGATTAGCACTGCTTGGTCTTGGCGTTATTTCCTTTAGAGCTTCTGGGTGTTGAGCAGCAGACGTGAGCTGATGGGTAAGGCACACTCGTTTTAGCATTTTTGTCGCTTTAAGTGCAGTTTGAATTTAAAAAAAATGTTTTTCTGATCAATAAGTGATTAATAATTTGGGGTAATTTGAGATCATTGTCAGAAGACACGGTCTGAGGTAAAACTGAGTGATTGAGGGTCAACTCAAGATGTTTTGGGTTCGATTTCTGATTGTGTCTCAGTCTGGTGCCGTGGTAGCTCTCTCTCTCTTGCGCTCTCTCTCGTTCTTGCTCTCTCTCACTCTCTCTCTCTCCCGTCTCTTGAGTCAGAAGGTGGTTCAAGCCCCCACATCAAGAGTTGGAATCACACAGACTAAGCTGACGCTCCAATGCAGCGCTGGGGTGAGTGTTGCACTGTCAGATGCCCCTTCGGATGAGCTGTTAAACCGAGGTCACGTCTGTCTATTCAAGTGGATGTTAAAAATCCCACAACGCTATTTGAAAAGTCACTCCCAATGTCCTGGCCAACAATCCCCTGAGTAAAATTGGTCACTCACTCCATGGCTGTTTGTGGGACATTGCTAAGTACAACTGGCTGTCGCAGTTCACCCACAAAATACACAGTCACATCACTTTACGTATACCCGTGAAGCGCTTTGAGACGTATCAATGATGTGTTAAGGCGCTATATTAAATGCAAAGATTATTATTATAACTGTAACAGTTTCACTTTTAATTCACATTTGGTTGAAAATAATTGTTCTATTTGTTAAATGTATCTTTGAATCCTACCATTTGTGGGGAAAGATTCAGGTGAGCATTACATGCAGAAGTGGCCCAATAGGTCAGAAGGGTATGGGATCAAACCACACAGAGTTTTAAGCTCACGGTCAAGACTAACAGCAACAACAAATGACATTTGTATAGCGCCTTTCACATCAGCAGAACGTCCCAAGTACTACACTCTGATGTTGTACTGGGAGGAGTGTTTCATTTTCACAGGTGCCGTCCTTAATAATAATGATGATAATAATAATAACCCTTGCATTTGATACAGCGCCTTATCATGTCTTCGAGACGTCTCACAGGATACACTGTAAAGTGAATTCACTGTATATTTTGTGAGCGAAATGCAGCAGCCAATCGCACACAGCAGCGTCCCACAAACAGTCGTGGATTGAGTGACCAAATTATTATTATTGTTTAAATCATGTTTTGAAGGATTTTATTTATTTATTGATTGATTAAATGACCAAATTATTATGATTATTTTTTGAAGCTATTATTATGCTTGGAAAAGCGATCCAATTGACTAAAAAAACGGGTTCCTACTTACTGCTAAGTAAACAGAGGTGTGTGGAGTAAGGAAACTGGCCCAATGTTTTGCGATGCCGGGAATCAAACCCGGGTCCTCTCGCTTGCGAGGCGAGTGCTCTAACCACTGAGCTACAGGACTCCTTCAGATGATATATTACACAAGGTCCTGGGCAATGTTAAGGATCTCAAATCAGTTATCAAAAGAGAACAAGCAGTTTGTTCAGCGTCTGGGGACGTCCTCCAGATGTGAAAGGCGCTATACAAATGTAATCTTCTTCTTGTTGTTGTTCTGGTGCACTGACTAATATTCCTCAGGATAAATTGATTAGTTCTTAGTTTGGTGCACTTGTAGTCTGGACCAAATGCGTAATGTTTTACTGTAGTTCAGGCAGGTGCTCAGTGACACACTGACGCTGTGTCGGCAGTTAGATAGGATAGTAAACTGTTGATTTAGGAAAGTCCCGTTTGTGTTAAAAAAAAGTGAGTTGGTCCGAAAGAGAAAGAGAAAGAGAAAGAGAAAGAGGAGCTATTTAACTTTCCGGTCTCGCCTCACAAGTTGTGGTATATATTTAAATATTATGTATTTGAGACATTGGCTCCGTAACTCAATTTTAGCAAAATATAAAATAAAATATTATTATAATTAATTACAGATACAACCCCCGTCAAACAGTGGGTCCTGCTTGTGGCAGGTTCAAAGACCTGGGACGACTATTGTGATCAGGTAAGTGAAGCAATTCCATTATTATTGGCTTCAGACATCAGTGAAATGTCTTCTGACGTATCAGTTTGGCTCCTCCTCTTGTCATGGTTTCGCCTTTGTGAAGGTTGTGTGTTGAAGCCAAATGTTGGGAGTGTAGATCACAGTGAAAGATAACACTCCAATTCAGAACAAGTGCTCTGAGACGCCGTCCGGCGTGGAGGGCACTGTATAAATCCAAGTTGTTGTTGTTGTTGAACTGGGGGAACTCTGGATTGTTGGAGATGCCGTCTTTCACATCAGATGTGAAGATTCACCCAGAACGTACAACACAGAAACAGGTCACGAGGCCCAACCAGTCTGTACTGGTGTTTATACTCCACACAAGTCTTCACCCATTCCTCACTCCCTCCCTCCCAAACCCTTCTATTCACCTCTCCCTCATGTGAAGGTTTATTTTCCTCTTCAATGCATCTACACCGTCTGATTCAACCACCACTTCTGGCAGCGAGTTCCATAATCTCACTACCCTCTGTGTGAAATAGTTCCTCCTAAATTCTCCTTTAGATCCCCTCGTTGCTATCTTCTGGAGGTCTAAAATGTTAAATATTTTTTATTTTCAGGCCAACATATGTCATGCCTATCAGATTGTCCGTAGGAACAAGATTCCAGCTGAACAGATAGTGGTGATGATGTACGACGACATTGCGCACAATGACAGGTAAACAATGAAAGTATATATATTTATTAGTCTATTCAGTCATTAATCTTCTCCATCCAAACCAATCTTGTGACCTCATTATTATTATTATTTCTTTATACAGAAGCTAAACAAAAGCTAGAAAGGAATGTTGGTAAAGGCCAGATTGCTGAATGCTTTAAGGAACATGTTGATTTGCCCACAAATATATAGTCAATTCACTTTACAGCATATTCTGTGAAGAGCTTTGAGACGTCAAGAAGACGTGAAAAGTGCTATATCAAATGCAAGAATTATTATTATTATTGATGTTACAATGAGAAGAAAGTAGGGTTGAGATTCTGGAAAGCTAAAGGATCCTCTTCATCTGAAGCTTTCTTGTTAACATGTGACTATCATGGCACTTTCTTCCTGGAGTGACACACCCGGCTTATCTAATTCTGGAGAAGATTATACACAAGTTGGAGTGAGCCACAGCTTGGAGACCCCAGAGTATAGATTGGGTTAATTGCTGGAGTTCCACCAGCTAAAAAACATTAGTTTGCCATTAAAACCACCTGTCCATTCCATGTCCAGCTTGGACCTTCCCACCCATTAGGGTCTTTGCTTGCAGGGTTAACAGAAGCTTAAAGGAAGAATCCCTGTCCCATGGAGATGACTCTGTCTCTATACGGCTTGCCAATGAGCTGGATTTGCTGGCCCTATCAGCCATGTCCAGGACCTGCCCATCTCAGGAGCTGGAAGACCAAAAGCACCGCAGAGAGTTCACTTGATTCCACATTCCAATGCCAAGCAAGTCACCCTGAAGCCAGTTTAGCCCCAACACCTACCTCTCCGCTCCCCAGGGGAATAGTTAGAAACGATGGAGAGGAAAAAAAATTGGAAGTGATAAGTGTGCTCATATTGGTCATTTCCTTTCTTGACTTCTCTTGGGCAACCAGAAACCCAACTCCAGGTGTTCTCATCAGCAGCCAATCTGAACTCAATGTGTATGAAGGCGTCCAAAAAGACTACACTGGAAAAGTAAGTATATCTGTACTGATCTCTGTCTACGGTTTGTTCCTCAGACTTTCCTAACTTTTCATACACTACAACCAGTGAATCCCATTGTCCCTGTGATGTGCTTTGAGATGTAAATGTAAATTAGTATTATTATTTATATAGTACCCTCAACCAGGATAGAGTGTTGGAGCACTGATGCACTACTGAGCATTGTAAAGTCATTCAATCACCATTAATTCATATTTAAGTGCGTTATACATGCAAGAACAAAAAAAACTTTAAAATTATAACTTTATAAAGTGATTACTTATTTCTCACTTTTATATTATATAATTCATATTATATATTTCTATTAAACCAATTTATATTCTACCCCCCACCCCACCCCACACACACACACACACAGGATGTTACTCCAAAGAATTTCCTGTCGGTGCTGACAGGCAATGAAGCTGCCGTTCGCGGAATAGGAAGTGGACGGGTGATTAAAAGGTACAAACATCTCGTGTTAATCTTTCTAATGATACCAATGCTCTGAAATCAGTGACGGTTTCTTACCGGTGATGGTAACAACTGTCTTGAAGTGATTTACAAAATGCAATCGATTATGGAAGAACGATTCATCTGGAAGGTAGTTGGCCAGAAATAACTTACATACAATTATATAGGTTCAAGTCCGTGTTTGTCAGATGTCCAAAGACATGAACTACAGAAAACCGTCTTCAAGGTTAAGTCTGGATCCAATAACTTGGTGAATTCTATATGCTCTGAAATCTACATAAATAGGGTAAATCCAGACTTGGGGGGAATTTCTCCCCACTAGGGGTTAACTTACATAAGTCTTCAAAGCCAAAAAGGCAACTGACTGGACAAAGTTGTAAAGACAGCTCATAGGATCCTAGTATTACACTTTACAGTATATCCTGTGAAGCGCTTTGAGACGTCTCAAAGACGTGATAAGGCGCTGTATCAAATGCAAAGATTCTTATTATTATTGTAAGTAGGGGTATGGAAATACCACTGAGCACGTGATGATTATTGCATCAGCTGATAGAAATACAGTGACAGTTTATTGCAAATACTTATTACCACAGTAAACCCCAAGATAACATCTTCATCTACTTTTCTGGCCATGGATCAGAGGGACAACTCAGTTTTCCTGACTCTAACGTGAGTAATAATTTTGAAACTTCTCATGACATTAGGCTCCTTTCAGACAAAGACTCAGAGGTAATGATAGCAAACGATTATCAAAATGCTGAAGTGCTCCAGGAATTAGTAACAAGAATCATCATCAGATTTGGTAGATGTTAAAGATCCCACCACAGAGGAATACAAAGTGTCTCCCAACGTCCTGGCCAACAATCCTTCAAATTAACCATTCATTCATCTCATGGCTATTTGTGGGCCTTTGCGATGTGCATAATTGACACCACATTTACCTACAAAACACAACTACTTTTGACAATAATTACAATAAAACACTTTGAGATGGTTTCAAGTGATCAGATCTATAAATACACAAGTTCTTTCTCCTTTCTTTGTAGAATAAATAGTTGAGCTGGGGACGGGACACATTTAAGAAATAATTTGATTCTGTAATGCGATGATGGCAGCTTGGGTATTGTGCAAAGATGAGATCAGGTGTTGTTTTTAAATTTTGATCGAAAGTTTGCCTGTGATCTTGTGTCTGATTGTCTATTGTCTTGTCTTTCAATCAGTTGACTGAAGACCTCACCAATTTAATACTGAAGGATAAACTTGCCAAAGTAAGAGACCTCGAGTTACACATTCTCTTTGTTAACAATTTTAGTATCGCACATAAACATCCCTTCTCCCATTAATCAAGTCTCCGCATGGTAACTTGTGCTTCTGGGTCAGAAGGTTACAGGCTCAAACCCATTTCAGGACGAGATCTCCCCCTCCAGTGCAGTAATGGGGGGAGCAAGGTGTTATAGGGGGTTGTCTCATTTGGAAGAGACATTAAACTGAGGCCCACTCTGCCTGTTCAGGTGCTTGCTAAAGATGCCATGAAAAAAAATTCTGAAATTCATTGTAGTGGCCTGGCCAATAATACCCTAGATCAGTCGGTTATATCTCATGGTTGTTTGTGGTGAGCAAAATGGCTGCTATATTTGACACAAAACGCTTTAAGGTGTTTTAATTGTGATAACACTCTATAAATATTCAAATTATTTTTTCTTTTGTTCTACATGGTTAGGCGCTTGGGTCCGGACACTGGACTTATTTAAGAAACATCTGGATTTATAATGGGAAAGTGGTGGGATATGTATTGTGGAAGAATTGTGGAGAAATTTCACCTGGGTCTTGATTTATTTATGTAGCATTTTAGAGGGTCCAGAAATGAGCAAATTGTGAAATCAGTTTTTATGGAGATAGTAACATTACATTTATAGAAAACTGCTTCAAACTTAAAGCTGTGTTTAAGAATTTGCCAAATGTAGACATAGTTGGAATTTCCCTCAACAGTGTGCAAAACTTCTCTTAATCTCATGATATATTGATCTTCTTTTTCATACAGCTGACTGCAAAATACCTCAAAAATATATTGGAACAACTTAATCAGACTGCCATGGTAAGAGAAGCGAAGTTACAGTTACAGAATATACTGTAAAGTGTAGTGACTGTATATTTTGTGAGCGAAAAACAGCAGCCAATTGCACACAACAGTGTCCAGCAAACAGTCGTGGATTAAATAATAAATCTGTCACTCAAGTGAGCTATAGGATTCCACATTTCTCCCCCTCTGGCTCTCCATCTGTCATGAAGTGGGTTCAGACTCCAAGTTGGGACTTGGGCTTACACTACAACTCTGGGAGATTGCTCCCATTGCCAAAAGTGCTGTCCCCTGGTAGATAACCCACAGCTTTCTCAAAGAGCACCAGGTTTCTCTCAGCCAAGAATACTTCAGATGAATCAATGATTCACTTCATGGTTGTTTGTGGGACTTTGCTATGAGCAAAATGGCTGCTGAGTTTGTCTGCCAAAAACAGCCACTATATGTGACAATGTTTACAGTAAAATTAGATGTCTTAAGGCGATAAGACACTATAAAAATGTAAGCTCTTTCTACTTTCATTCTTTCTACATAGTTAAGTCATTAAGCCAGAATCTCGGATATTTTATATTAAAAAAAGCTAAATCCGGTAATGGGAGGACATTAGATGGAGTGGGTGATGGGGGAAAGCTCAAGATCAAGTGAACCAAAGGAGCTTCTTCACTCGAACCTCACACACATACATGAAGGAAATAGAGAGAGAGAAGGGAAGCAGCATCTTCTTGGAGCTGATATGGCTGGGAAGGGAATGTCAGAATCAAGACAATCCTCTGTGTGGTCTCAGTTCTGTTTCTGAGCCACTCTATAAGTCCTGTTGATGACAGACCAGCCAGTATCCTCATCAGTAGGACTTGGTGGGGACAGGGAGTTTTCCCTCTCCTCCTGTTGACCCTGCAAGCCAAAGCCGGGCAAGCAACCAGAAAGTTGTCAAACAGTGCTTTCAATGACAATCTGGTTAGTCTCCAGCAGCACAGTGGCTAATACACTCTGGAATTCTATAAATGGGGTCCATCCTTCCGGAGAGAGATTCCATTCTGAGATGGGAGTTTCCTTGTGCCGGGACACATTGGTTTGGAGACTCTGCTGTGATGGTTTCTGCATGTGTCGGACACCTGGCTGATCCATTAGCAAATCAAAATATATATATGTTTTCTTTTTCTTTCTACCTGAAACAGTAGTTGAGACAGGATACTGAATACTTTTAAGGAATAGCTCAATTTTGTAATGGAAGACGGTAAGATAGGGATTGTGAAAGGATGGGAAAGAGTTTCTGGAGCTGAACCTCTGTTTGACCTTCTCTATGTTGTCTTTCAAACAGTTGACTGAAAAGGATTTCATGGATGCAATAAAAAAGATGGCAGAAAGGAAACAGTTCGGCAAAGTAAGAAACCTCCGCTGACAGATTCTGGTTCTGTATTTGTTAGAATATGTTTCTACGATTGTATACTTTTACTCTTTAGCAATTTAAGGCCATTTAAATAAAATAATAAAAATATTTTCAGATGGTGATATACCTTACTGCATGTCATTCCGGATCAATGTTCAAGAGCCTCCCAAACAATATCAAAGGTCAGTTGTGCATTTTGTGTTCTCACTGTTTACCACAAGGAAATAGAAACGGGATTTGATAATAATAATAGTCCTGGCATTTGGTACAGCGCCTTATCATGTCATTGAGACGTCTCAAAGCGTTTCACAGGACACACTGTAAGGTGATTTGGCTGTATTTTGTGAGCGACATCATGAATGACCATCTTTATCTGAGGGATTGTTGGCCAGGACACCAGGAGAAACTTGTTTCCCTTCTTCAATCCAACAACAATAACTTTCACTTATATAGCGCCCTCCGCCCAGGGCAGCATCTCCGAGCACTTAACACTGGCAGAGCCTGACTCCCCTGTAGTCCTTTGGGATCCTTAAGGTCCACCTGAACAGGTAGACAGGACCAATTTTAACGACTTATCCAAGAGACACTACCTCTAACAATACAGGGCTCCCCCCAGCACTGCAATGGGGTGTTGGCGTAGACTATTATTTCAAAGTCCCCAATAGGTTCCCTTAATTCACAGTATTCTGACCCAGAGGGTGAGAATGTTATCAACTGAACCAGGAGGACACCCAAGGTATTTAAACTGACCTTTAAAAAAAAGTATACGGAATATTTATTTAGTTTAACTTTGAGTCAAATCATTTGTTTTACAGTTTATGCAGTTACTTCAGCGGCTCCCGATGCAGTGTGCTACGGATCTAACTTCGATAAAAAAAGAAACGTGTACCTTTCAGATGAATTCAGTGAAAGTTGGATGAAACACTGTAACTCGGTAAATGGCACATTTTATTACCACTTATTCCGAATTCCATAGCTCTTGTCCTCTCCTGCACTAACCCCCATCCTCGCCCGACTTCACTGGCTCCCCATCCCCCAGAAACCACCAACAACAACAATTACATTTGTATAAGATTGAGTTTAAGATCCTCGTCCTCACTTTTAAAGCCCTCCATGGTTTTGCTCATCCCTGACCTCTGCCACCTACTAAAATGTTACCAACCTGTCACCAATATGCAGCAGGTGTTGGCCTGCTACAGGTCCACTGCCCACTCCACCATCAGAGGTCAGACCTTCAGCCTCACTGCCCCCACCCTCTGGAACTCTATCCCGGAGTCCCTTCACCTCGTACCCCCACTTGCCTCCTTCAAGGCCCGTCTCAAGACCTTCCTCTTTAGCCATGCCTTTGCCCATCCTCCCACTGTCACCCTCCTTGCCTTCCACCCCTCTTGACTCCAATGCCCAGCTCGGGTGCAAACCCTTGACTGTCCAGCACCTTGGGCAGTCCTCCTGACGTGGGAGGTGCTGTGTAAATGCAATTTGTTGGGTTATTGTTGAGTAAATGGAATTTTATGTGTATCTCACGCTGTGAGTGACCTGGGAATGCTGGAGAGGGCAGCGTAGTGGGATCTTTACTCTTTATCTAAACCAGACTGTGGTTGACACAGGCATGAGAAGCTCGAAAGGGAACAGTTTTCTGTTCCCTGGTACATAGAAGCATTACTTTTCATTCCGATGCTATGGTATTCGACTACCAGACCACAACAGTATTTTCCTGTACTGTATGTTACAAGTGCTCTGGGACTATACCCACATGAGGAGCACTATATAAATGCAAGTTGTCGTTACTGTTTTTCGTAGGTCAATCTTTCTGAGACAACACTTGAAGCACAGTTCAGAGACATGAAGGAACACACAAAGAGCTCGAAGATTCAGCAATACGGAGATTTGGTAATGTATAGAATAGGGTGATTGAGAAACCTTTGAGTTTGTGTGATGGTCAAGTTCAACCTCTCTTAACCTGAGGAAATAGGCCCTGGAAGTCGTGCAGAGATTGGCAACAAATATGATCCCGTCTGTTAGAGGAATGGGCTCTGAAGAACGACTAACAATTTTGTTTTTATGAGAGCTGTTGAAAAGAAGTGTCTCAGAGGGGACCACAGAGAGCAGTGATTGACAACTTTTATGGTCGACCAACAAAATACATTTTCTTGATTGAATATTTCTTGATTGCTTGATATAGAGGTATGCAATAATAATAATACTTGCATTTGATATAGCATCTTCATCACATCTTCAAGATGTCTCCAATAAATAAGAGACTATTTTAAAAGAGATTGTAAGCCCAAAACAATATTTTCAGATACACTGAGGCAGCAGGACCAGAGGACAAAGGCTTAGGGGGGTAAAGGGCAATTTTAGTGTCATCACCAGGTATTTCTTTACCCTGAATGGAGTTAATGTCTGGGGTGGATTATCATGAAAGGTGGTTGAGGTCAAGACTCTGGGACACATTTAAGAAACAGCTCTGGGGCTGGCTCCAGTCGGCTCCTGAGCCAGGAGTGTCCGCAGTACTCTGGCACTGGTGACAGCACAGCGCAGTCTGGCTCATCAGCAGGACTTGGAGGGGCAGACCCGTCACTGGGGGCAGAGGTTCCTTCCCCTCAGCTCCTGTTAATAATAAAATAATAATAATCCTCGCATTTGTTATAGCGCTTTTCACGTCGGGAGGACGTCCCAAAGCGCTTCACAGAATATACTGTAAAGTGAATTGACTGTATATTTGTGGGAAAATGCGGCAGCCAATTGCGCACAGCAATGTCCCACAGACAGTCATGGATTGAAAATGACCAATTTATTATTGTTTTTGGTTTTGGAGGATTATTATTAGTAAGGAAACTTGCCCGAGGTTTCGCCCTCAGCCTGGAATTGAACTCAGGTCTCTCGCTTGCAAAGCGAGTGCTCTAACCACTGAGCTACAGGACTCCAACCTTACAAAGCCCTAATGGATAGGGTGGTCCGAGCTGGACAAGACAATGCTTTCAATGGCAAGCTACGTAGCTTTAGCTGGTGAGACACCAACCGTTACCACAACTCTGGGTCCCCAAACTTTGTTCTTGCCAACCTGCATCGAATACTCTCCAGAGTTGGGTAAGCAAGATGCTTCCCTCCAGAGAAAGAGAGAGAGAAAGAGAGAGAGAGAAAGTGCATTCCATTCCAATAAGCATCTCTGGGATTTCCATGTGTATGTGGGCTGCATGGAATTCTGAGTTTGGTTTGGAGACTCTTAAACGTGGTGATGGGTTTCTGCATGCGTCAGATACCCGGATGACTCCCCAAAAATTAAGCTGTAGACATATGATTGACTTTCTTTTTCAGACCCTTTTACAAGAGAAGCTGATCTACTTCCAAGGAACCTCTTCTCTTCCACCAGCCCCTCGTCCACCAGCGGCTCGTCCTCCAGCCCCTCGTCCACCAGCGGCTCGTCCACCAGCGGCTCATCCACCAACCCCTCGTCCACCAGCCCCTCGTCCACCAGCGGCACGTCCACCAGCGGCATGTCCACCAGCGGCTCGCCCGCCAGCGGCTCGCCCGCCAGCGGCTCGCCCGCCAGCGGCTCGTCCACCAGCGGCTCGTCCACCAGCCCCTCGTCCACCAGCCCCTCGTCCACCAGCGGCTCGTCCACCAGCAGCTCGTCCTCCAGCCCCTCGTCCACCAGCGGCTCGTCCACCAGTGGCTCATCCACCAACCCCTCGTCCACCAGCCCCTCGTCCACCAGCGGCACGTCCACCAGCGGCATGTCCACCAGCGGCTCGCCCGCCGGCGGCTCGCCCGCCAGCGGCTCGCCCGCCAGCGGCTCGCCCGTCGGCGGCTCGCCCACCAGCAGTCGGTCCACCAGCGGCTCTCCCGCCAGCGGCTCGCCCACCAGCGGCTCGCCCACCAGCGGCTCGCCCACCAGCGGCTCGCCCACCAGCGGCTCGCCCACCAGCGGCTCGCCCACCAACGGCTCATCCTATCCAAGGTCCTGGAATGAGTTGTTGCTTCCCAGCTGCGCTCTTTCCTCTCCAACCATTCACTATTCGAACCCCTTCAGTCGGGTTTCCGTGCTGCCCATAGCACAGAAACTGCCCTGGTCAAGGTCACCAATGACATCCTGACCATCTGTGACCAGGGCTCCCTCTGCCTCCTCGTCCTCCTCGACCTATCGGCAGCATTCGATACGGTCGACCACGCTATCCTCCTCCACCGCTTGTCCTCCCACCTAAACCTTCAAGGCCCTGTCCTTGAGTGGTTTAGGTCGTACCTCTCCCACCGTCTTCACTTTGTCTCCACGAATGGTTTTTCCTCCACACCCGCACTGTCTCGTGCGGTGTCCCTCAGGGCTCTGTCCTCGGTCCCCTCCTCTTCACCCTCTATATGCTCCCCCTGTGGTGACATCATCCGCAGACATGGGGTTAACTTCCACATGTATGCGGATGACACCCAACTCTACCTTTCCTCCTCTACCCTCAACTCCACGACCCCCGATGTCCTGACAGCTGTCTGTCCGACATCGAGTCCTGGACGAGAGATAACTTTCTTCAGCTCAACGTGCGCAAAACTGAGGCCCTCCTGATTGGCTCACGTCAGCGCCTCCGCACCTCAGGCGCTGACAGCATCAGCATCCAAGGCTGCACTCTCCACCTCTCAAAGCCATCAGGAACCTCGGGGTTTTGTTCGACCCTGAGCTGTCCTTTCTCCCTCATATCCGCGCCACAACTGGCACCGCCTTCCATCACCTCCGGAATGTCGCCAGACTACGGCACTACCTCACCCCTCACGCTGCTGAAACTCTGGTCCACACCTTTATCACCTCAAGGCTGGACTATGGGAACTCTCTCCTCGCCGGCCTTCCCGGCCCTCCCTCCACACTGCAGGTCATTCAGAACTCTGCAGCTCGTGTACTGTCCCGCACCAGACACCGCGACCACATCACTCCCACCCTCGCTCGCCTCCACTGGCTCCCCATCCCCAGAGGATCGAATTCAAGATCCTCACCCTCACCTACAAGGCCATTCACGGCCTCGCTCCCTCCTACCTCTCCGACCTACTATCCCCCTACCTACCTCCGTTCCTCTGGCTCCGGTCTGCTCCACATCCCCCGCCCCAACCGCCCTACCATCGGTGGCCGGGCCTTCAGCCTCTCAGCCCCGAGGCTCTGGAACTCCATCCCCAGTGCCTTCGCCGCCTCCTCCCTTTCCTCCTTCAAGGCCGGTCTCAAGACCTTTCTCTTTGACCTTCAGCCTTCAGCTCCCCTCTCGACTCTCTACCCCCTCCTCGCTCCCTCCCTTCCCTCCCCTCACCCTGACAATTTCCCCACTGCTCGGGGCCTGACCCAACTGTACAGCGCCTTGGGACGTCCTCCCGACGTGAAAGGCGCTCAATAAATGGAATCTTGTTGTTGTTGTTGTCCACCAGCGTCTCATCCACCAACGCCTCCTCCACCAGTGGTTGGTCGACCAGTGGCTCATCGTCCATGTGTAGAAAAGGAATAGAATGGACATTCTCCCAAAGTGAAAGGCGCTCTATAAATGTAATTTTGTTGTTATGTTGTTAATGAACGGAATTAATGTCTGGGGCGGATTGAGGTCAAGACTCTGTGACACATTTAAGAAACAGCTCTGGTGCTGGCTCCAGTCGGCTCCTGAGCCAGGAGTGTCCGCAGTACTCTGGCACTGCTGATGACAGCACAGCCCAGTTTGGCTCATTGGCAGATCTTGGAAGGGCAGACCCGTCACTGGGGACAGGGAATCCTCCCCCTCAGCTCCCATTAACCCTGCAGACAAAGCCCTAAAAGCTAGTGTGGTCTTAGCTGGACAAGACAATGCTTTCAATGGCAAGCTCCGTAGCTTCAGCTGGTTAGACACCAACCATTACCCCAACAGTCTGGGTCCCCAAACTTTGCTCTTGCCAACCTGCACCGAATACTCTCCAGAGTTGGGTAAGCAAGATGCTTCCCTTTCGGGAAAGAGAGATAGATAGAGTGCATTCCATTCCAGTAAACATCTCTGGGATTTCCATGTGTATGTGGGCTGCATGGAATTCTCAGTTTGGTTTGGAGACTCTTAAACATGGTGATGGGTTTCTGCATGCGTCAGATACCCGGATGACTCCCCAAAAATTAAGCTGTAGACATATGATTGACTTTCCCTTTCAGACTCTTTTACAAGAGAAGCTGATCTGCTTCCAAGGAAACTCTTCTCTTCCACCAGTGGCTCGTCCATGTCCGGCCCACACAAGAAAGGAACAGAATGATTCTAATTCTTGCAGCATCTGTTGAAGCGAAGGCCTGTGAGGCTGTGAGGCTTGAACTTTTATATGCAATGAGTTCTAGAAATAAGCAGCTTCTAAACTGAACCCCCAAACAAAGATGGCCAACCACCTTCCTGCACCTTGGGTTAAAAGCACTTTATTTATGTAAATTGCATTATATAAATTGTATTGTAATTTTTGTTTATCACTTCAGATAATAATACTAATAATCCTTGTATTCAATAGAGTGTCTTATCATGTCTTCTAGAATAGACTGTGAAGTGAATTAATTCAGGGCTCACTGTCGTAAGTCTCCTTTTGATTCTCCTAAGGTGCGGAATTTGCGCACAGACTTTATTTCTGTCTGTAATTTTTGAATTGTTGTGAACTACAAATAAACATGTTTAGGTTTAGTTGGCAAAAGTCTCGGAGTGTATTACTTCTGTCCTTTCTGCTGTTCAGCCGGGTATCTGACACGATTTACATCACGATTTAAGTATTGAATATTCTGTCCATGAATATGAAAGAATGAATATGATTGAATGAAATCTCCCTCTGCATAATATCAGTGAAGCTGACAGCTTCTGAAACACTGCAAATCAGATAAAAAGCCAATCCCCAAGTGTCTGCAATATCCATCGGGGAGGGGGGGGGTAAAGAGTCAATAATCAAAATGATAAATAATAATCCCTGCATTTGATATAGTGTTTTGATAGTGAATTGACTGGATGTTTGCGGGCGAAACGCGGCAGTCAATTGCGCACAGCAGCGTCTCACAAACGGTCGTGGATTGAAGTGACCAATTTTATGATTGTTTTATTTTCTTGAGGGATTTTATTATCAGGAGTGTGGAGTAAGGAAACTCGCCCACGGTTTGGCCCTGACCTGACCTGACCGGCCGGGAATCAAACCCAGGTCTCTCGCAGGCCAGGTGAGGGGGGAAAGGAGGGTGACCGAGGGGGCGGTCGAAGTGGAGGGTCTCGAGATGGGTCTTGACGGAGGCGAGGGAGGGGGCGAGGCGGAGGGACTGCCAAATAGCGTTGAGTGGGGCTTTTAACAGGGGAGCCATTCCGCGGAGTCGAAAGCAGCAGCGAGGTCAAGGAGGGCGAGGAGCAGAGGGAGCCCTGGTCACAGATGGACAGAATGGCATTTGTCACTCTGTTTCTGTGCTGTGGGCGGCACGGAAACCCGATTGGAGGGGTTCGAGAAGGGAGTGGCAGTGGGGAACGAACGTAGCTGAAAAGCAACAACTCGTTCCAGGACCTTGGAGAGGAAGGGGAGGTTGGAGTTGGGGCAGTAGTTAGGGAGTGGAGAAGGGTCCAGGGAGGGTTTTTTAAGGATAGGAGTGATGACAGCGGTTTTTAATGGGGTGGGAACAGTACCAGAGGACATGGAGAGGAGTCCTGTAGCTCAGTTGTTAGACCACTCGCTTTGCAAGTGAGAGACCTGAGTTCAATTCCAGGCAGAGGGCGAAACCTTGGGCAAGTTTCCTTACTCCACACAGAGCCTAATAATAATCCTCCAAAACCCAAAACAATAATAAATTGGTCATTTTCAATCTACGACTGTTTGTGGGACATTGCTGTGCGCAATTGTCTGCCGCGTTCGCCCACAAATATACAGTCAATTCACTTTACAGTGTGTTCTGTGAAGCGCTTTGGGACGTCTTCCTGACATGAAAAGCGCTATATCAAATGCAAGGATTATTATTATTATTACTATTATTATTATTATTATTATGTCAAGTAGGGCAAGGCAGAGGAATTGAGGGAGAGTGGATTATAATTCGGCTATGGCATCCCATTTAAGCTTGCGTTGCACTATCTGAATCCCTTGTTTTATGTTACCAATCTTTGTCTCTGTTCTGGTATTGGTTATGGAGATCTCATCTCCAAGATCTCTCAAGATTGTTCGCAGAATATTTGTCAGCCATTCCCGGTCGTACTGCCCAAAGTCAGAGATCAGCTGGGTGACTTCGTTTTCAACCCGATCGACAAGTTCTTCATCATCTGCAATCTTCACAACGATCTTCAGATCAGCTCGAAGCTCTTTAACTCGCTGGATATTTCTCTGGCCGCAATCACTGAAAGTGTTCCCACATAAACTGAGAAAGACATTAAGAGACAGGCTTGGGAAATGAAAAGTCAACGGTCACCTTAGCTCCAATATAAGGTGTGGATACTGAAGTGTATTTGCTATCTTTACTGTTTGTGACAGACAAAGTATGAAAATTAGAGGTCTAATTAACATTGCTCGATGATTGCTAATGATAAAATAATAATTCCTAATATTAAAATAATAATTTAGTATAGTGCCTTTCATATCGGGATGACATCCCCAAGTGCTTCAGAGGATATACTGTAAAGTGGAGTGACTGTATTGTAGGCAAATACAGCAGCCCAATTGTGCCTACCAATCTCCCACCCACAGCCAAGGAGTGAGTGATCTATTTTATTTGGGGGATTGTATGCCATGACACCGGGAGAAACTCCTTTTCTCTTTTCGAATAGCCCAACGGGACCTTTAACATCCACCAGAGCAGGTAGACGGACCTCGGTTTAACATCTTACCCAACAATGCGACATTGCATTGGAGTGTCATCTTATAACATGGGGCTTCAACCCAAAAGCTTTGACTCAGGGGTGAAAGTGCTATCAACTGAGTCAGGCTGACTCGCTTGTAATTATAGCTGGGGTTTCACTGACGTTTAGAAAATTGATTGTAGACTTACTGTAGGACTTCAAGGGTCTTGTTGTGTTTCAGACATTCAGGCATTATCTCTGTTCCTTTATCTGTAATCCCGTTATCATACAAATAAAGGCACTTGAGTCTCTGGTTTTTCTCAAGGGCTTTCCATATCATCTGAGCCCCGCTGGAGTGAAGGTGATTTGTTCCAATTCTACAAAGAGCGAATGAACAGACACACAACAGTGATGATACAATACAATTTACACTTATAGTGTCTTTCACGTCAGGAGGACGTCTCAAAGCACTTTACACAGCGAGTTAGGCATCCGAGCAGGGGAGCTGAAAAGGGTGTCGGGGTTGAGGAAAAATAATCATAATCAAAGAGGCAAGTCGTAGCATCCCTTTTTAAAAGATTGGCATCTTTTGGAATTTTCCCTTCGTATTTCATAGACGTATTGCGAAAAGTATTTAGGAACTTACGATAGCCTTTCAAGTGCACAACTTGGTTCTTGAAGAATGTTGCTGATTATCCTGGCTGACTCTTCAGTCAGTTTGTTAGAACTTATTCTGTAAAATGGAGATTAGAAACACTTGAGTGTGGATTAAATTACCATTTTAAATCACAGGATCTCAAGCGATTAGCGAATACTGATCCTCCCATTTACACCATCAAACTGATTCTTAAATGATTCTGTGGCCCAACGATTTTTGGTAACACATTCCAACTGTTGTTTACCCACAGGTTCCTTTTTGCTGTCTGTCCTGAACTTGTCCTCTCGAAGAGCTTATTCACAAATTGGCTGAGCAAACACCACCAACAACAACAGCGCCCCTCACGCAGGTCTCGTCCCAAAGCACGGTCAAGGAGAAAGGTCTTCAGGCAGGACCTGAAGATAGGGAAGGAAGGGGCAAGGCGGAGGGACAGAGGGAGAGTGTTCCAGAGTGTCAGGACGTAGAGGCTGATAGCGCAGCCTGATCTGGGGTGATAAAATCTTTCTAGTATGACAGTGAGCATGTTCTTCATTCTAATCTAATGACTATGCAATATGTCACACTGATGTTGCAATGGAAACACAGAGAGAACTGTCCCATCACCCGTGAAGCATTTAACAGCGTTACTTACGAGACAGATTTGCACTTGGCAATTACTTCCTCAAGTTGCCTTATGCCTTGATCCTTCAAGTCACAAAGTCTTAAGTCCATTTTTTCCACCTGAGAATGACGGAGACTGTAACACAAGGCAGCGATATCCAGGAGGCTCAGAGAAATGTTGTAAAAGTCTATGCGTTTGATGTGAGGAGACACGTCTTCTGTCACTTTGTTATCGTGCAGCTCGAAAAGGCAATGCATTAAATTTAGCAGCTCAGACTGCTTTATATCTGTACATAGCCAGTCCCTAAACCACCTGACCAGGGCTTGGGAAGTAGAATCACTGAGGGGAGCTGCAGACTTCCAGAAGTTTCCACCTCGTCCTGCCGTTAAGAAGCCCATGAACATTTTGGTGAAACTGAAGAGGTTCTTCTTGTGCTCAGGCCACTTGGCTGCTTCAATACACAACGGGTTCTTTGAGTTCTGTGGCACCTTTCCAAGACACCACAGGTCCAGGCATTCGATCAGCTCTTCGGCTTTGTCCCTCACTAAGTCTGCACAATACCAGGCTGCAACCTGCTCCATTATCATAGCATGATAGAACTCAAAGCTGCTCCGATTGTCCCATTTCTTTTCCAAGATGAGATTTGACAAGTGACTGGAAAGAAATGTTGGGTTTATATCGAAGGCAATCAGATCTTTCTCTACCATGTTGTGTTTCCCTGACAAGAGATAGTGATAGGAAAGCTTCCCCACTTTTAGGATGGTTTCAACAATTTTGTCATGGGGTCTATCCTTACATTTCTCCAGATCAGTCGCTGACAATTTGTGTGACTGGTCAGTGCCTGGAGTACCATGACTAAAGAGGCTGTCAAAGAACAGAGAGAAGAGTTTGCTCTGAGTCACTGGCACAGCCGTTACCCCTTCAGAGTAATCTTTACATGTCTTCAGAATATTGCACAGCATATAGCTGTTTAGGGGATTGCAGGCCAGATAGGTGATGGTTTCTTTCTCTGTAAAATGTTGATACATCTTGCTTGCTGTTTCCTTATCTTGATAGAACACATCGCAGTATTGTCGTAGCTGATTAGTGGTAAACCCAGAAATGGCCAGGATGCAATCAAAATATTTCTTGTTAATTTTTATCTGGTCATTATTCCATCGGGAGGTAACCAATATGTGTGCAGCAGGAAGCAGTTGCCCACAAATCAGATCGGACACAAGAACGTTCACGTCAGCTTCAGTGTCTATGTCAATGTCCCTTATTGGAGCATCACAACTTAGCTGATGGTGAAATTCATCCAGCCCATCCAAAGTGATCAACACATCATGGGGATCAAGGAGAAGTGCAGACAGGACTTCTGACAGTGATGAGCACTTGCTCTGAAGCAGTTTCCGTAGCGTTGTCTTTTCTTTAACCTTATTTAAGTCATGGAATCTCAAAATAATGATGCACTTAAAAGGTTGTTCGTTTGACTCAGACGCCCATTCTTGTCTCATGCAGGTAACTGTCCAGCTCTTCCCCACACCTGCATCTCCTACCATTAAGATACGTTTTGAAGAGCACTTTTTTCCCAGTGCCACAGACAGCATTTCAGTTGGTTTGATTTCTTTTGTATTGTCTGACCCACCTCCATTAATTCCCTCAATGAACTTTCCTTCCTTCTTTGGGTATGTGACATCCACTGTCCTCATGAGGCTTGCGTAGCATTTGGACATGTTACTATTGATCATAGTAGAATACTTCTTTGTAAGGTACAGTTTGTAGTCTTCAAGAGCATCTGAAAATAAACAAACTAATGTTTTATTTTGTGGTTCTTTATATTCTGAGCATTTCAGAGTCTGTGCAATTTGCACAATTCTTATGTATTGTCCAAACACGGGAGGCTCTGAATTGCTAAGAAAATAGATTAAATCTAGGAATAAAAACAGAAGTTTCTGGGAACTCAGCAGGTCAGGCAGCATCTATGGAGAAAGGAAAGTGAGTCAACGTTTCAAGTCCACAACCCTTCACCAGAACCGGGGTTCTGACAAAAGGTCGTGGACTCGAAACGTTGACTCACTTTCTTTTCTCCATAGATGCTGTCTGACCTGCTGAGTTCCCAGCGACTTCAGTTTTTATTTCAGACTTCCAGCATCTGCAGTATTTTGTGTTTAGATTAAAATTCAGATGGAATTTCTTCTCTCAGGACTTAATGTGACCAGTATAATTTGTCATTCCTCAAACCAACATCCTAGAGCTTCTCAGAGGGTCTGCCTTTTAATGTTGGGCTATACTATTTGCTCTTATTGAGTTAAGGTGGTTGATCCAGTAGATTATAGTAAAGCTCTCAAGGCTTATAAATCGCTTATAAATTTAAAAATTGCTTATAAATCGTACAATTGCCTAAGTCGTACGTCCATCCGACTACCATTCAGTTTCCTATCAAAACGACTTAACTTCTTTGCACCAGTCAAATTAATCATCTCCTAACTGGTAACACTGCTCTCCTATCCTCCATTACTCCTGCACTTACGGCTGCTTTCAATCGCAGAGAACAGTCGTGAGCACTTCCTGGCTGGGATGACAAACTGCAGCTTGCGGACTTGCTGGCTGCATTGCATTACACATGTGCGGTGTAGATTAATGATTAAATCATACAAGTTTGCAAATGTTGTTCCCAACTGATATGATTATGAGCGTTTTCCTGTATTTCACTGTAAATAAAGCTCCTGGCTTTATGCCCCCGCCCACCTGCACTTGTCTAATTCTATACAGCATTTTGGTGAGCATATGCTGCGTTTAAATGGTATGCATTGAGTTAGAAAACATTAAACATTTTAATGGCATTCAAAGGGAGGAGCAGAAGCCTGGGGTAGTAGTAATTGAGGCAGAAACCAGGGTGAAGGCAGAAAGCAGCAAATGCCATGAATTATACTCATGAAGCTCCACACTAACGCAGTCCCAAATCCAAACTCCAGTTATCTGTTCCTGGGGAAAACAGGCATCTTTTTATTACAATTAGTCGCAGAGATTGGCCTGGAATTAATACAGCATGAACTGAGCACAGCTTATTACCTGCCATGTTTGGGTATCTTATCAAAGCCGCTCCTGGAAAAACAAAATACAATTTCCAAGTCAATTAGTGACAGTTTGTTTATATTATATAGATATTAGATATTACATTTTGTTTGGGCGCAATTGACTGCCGTGTTTCGCCCACAAAATATAGTCAATTCAATTTACACTATATTCTGTGAAGCGCTTTGAGAGTCTCGAAGACGTGATAAGGCGTTACATCAAATGCCAGTATTATTATTAGTTACAAATTCCCCAAATCAAACAATTCAGAGCCCCTGATCTTTCTATTAAATTATAGCTCATCGAAAAAGAATAACTAACTGTAAAGGACAGCACCAGAGGGAGAGTGCGCACAGCACAGACAATGTGTGTGGTGGGGAGAGAGACCAGGGGAATCTAACAGTAGAGGGCTCCAGAGGGGAGCCAGCGGTATGGACACGATGGGCTAATTTCTGTGCTGTAATTTCTATGAGAGCCAAAGAAATTGTAAGATGACACTAGCATCTGAGATCAAAATCGAGAAGAATACGGAGAGCAGTAAGAATTGTGGTTCATTTTCTCCTCTTTTCCCGAATCAGACTAACTGGACCAGAATAGCTAACTCAGCACAGACCAATACTCAATCTGGGGCAATCTCTGTATCTTTTAAAACAGCAGCACAGGTGGTTAAGACCATATAGAATCCAAATACTACAACAGCAACTTGCACCGACATAGCGCCCTCCACCCAGGGCAGCATCTCAGAGCGCTTAACAATGGCGGAGCCTGACTAGAGTGCAGAGGAACTTTTTTATGCCCTGGGAAGAGAACACAAAAGTAAGGAAGTAATGTAAAATTTATATAATCGTTGGTCAGACCAAATTTGGATTACTGTGCGCAGTTTTTGTCACTATATAATGTTATTGTAGTATTATCACAGGCTCACTAGAATGCTCCCAGGGATGAGAGTATCTAAGTATTAGGAAAGACTGAACTGCTTCGGGGTTTCATCCCTAGAGATAAGATGATTGAGAGACTCGATAGAAGTGTTTAAAATTAGAGAGGCATTTGGTAAGGTGAACAGAAAAAGATTGTTTCTGCTCGTTCGCAAGTCCATAACAATGGGGCATAAATCTAAAATAGCCACTAACAGATCTGAAACAGAGTTTAGGAAGAAATTATTTTATAGAGTGGTAAAAATGTGGAAGCACAGCCAGATGCTGTGGTTGAAGCTGGAAGCATCAATGTGTTTAAGAGGAAACCTGGTACATATTTGCGAGAGAAGGTAATAGAGTGTGTGAGGGGAGGCCGGGGAGGGGGATATTCTGTGAAGCGCTTTGAGACGTCTCAAAACGTGATAAGACGCAATGTCAAATGCAAGGATTATTATTGGGATGGGTGGAGTCTCACTTGCACTTGTTCTTAAAACACCAGAAATGATTAATGGGGATAATTTGCTTGGTTCAGGAATGTCGATAGTATGTACAACTGTAGGTAACAACTTGCATGCATATAGCGCCCTTCACGCGCAGCAGCGTTTCAGAGCGCTTAACAGTAGCGGAGCCTGACACCGAGCCGGGGGGAGGAGGTGACTAGAAACAGTCGAAGAGGAAGCTCTTCAGTCGTGATCTAAAAGAGGGGAACGAGGGAGTAAGGCAGAGAGATCGGCGGAGAGATTTCCAAAGCTTCAGGGCTTAGTGACTGAAAGTGCGGCAGCCGATGGAGGAGGCAACAGGTAGGGGAGAGTCTGTGATGGTGCGGTGGTGTGACGGAGTTTAGTGCGGGTGATCAGGTACTTGCTGATCATATTAAAACTTACTCTCAGGATCCATATGACGCTGTTTTTTCATTATCGATTTCCCGATGGCAATCTTGATCCCGATCCCAATCCCAATCCCGACAATGACAAAAAATGCTGCAGCAGTTCCCAATGTTCTGATTTGTTCCTTTGGAATCTGATCTTCAAGGTTGTTGTCTTCAGTGACTTGTGACGTATCTGTATCTGGGAGTTTGCAATAACCATAAAGCAGTGGCAGCAAATTTTCTTCCTGAAAAGCGGTGCTATGGCTTTCACCATGTGGGTTGTGTAAGTCTATAATCACCTGAGGAAAGGTGTGTGTTTTGGCCTGTAATAGTGTAGCATCAAACTTTACTTGTACAAGCCCTTTCAGCACTCTGTGTCAGAGAGGGCTTCAGATGAGGGAAACAGTTGCTTCTAACTGGTTAGTGAGGCTGTCGTCTCCAGTAATGTCAGAAATGGACTATAAAAGCAGCACCTGTCAACACTTAGGCTGAAGTCTCTGCTTCCACTGTATTCTGAAGTAACCTGACATTGTCTGGACTTGTGTGTGTCCAAAGATGCCCTACTCCCAGCCATTAAAATACAAGTCATTGCACAAGATCACAGGAGAGGTTCATGTGAAGAAAGCTCTTCAACTCATTTGATCTCAGCCTTGTGGAATATTAAACTTCCTGACTTGTGATTACACAGATGTGGTGATTGCTTGACATGTGCAGATGTGCACTGTGCTGTTGACATATGCAGATGTGCACTGTGCTGTTGACATGTGCAGATGTGCACTGTGCTGTTGACATGTGCGGATGTGCACTGTGCTGTTGACATGTGCGGATGTGCAGTGCTGCAATGGCTAAAACAGATCTGCAGTTTTGACTTACAAAAATACTTACACTGACTTCCTGTGTTGCAGCCTTTCCTGACTAACAAAGAAAATAAACCACAGAAACAGAAACCGCACACAATCTCTCCAGCACATAAGCTACAGTGCTTGGGTGGTGCTTCATGTGAGTGCAATCTTGGAAACGAGGCCAACAGTCTTAGGCAATGCTAGCCTGTGGTCTACTTTTCTTGAGAGATGTCAACTTAATGTGCCTTAAACCCATGGATGTCCTGGCCAACAGCCCTCCAGCTAATTTGGTCATTCAACTCATGACTGCGTGGGACCATGCTGTGCACAAAATGACTGCCACATTTGCCTACAGAAGTCACTAGACATGACAGTTAATCACTGTGACATTTTAACATTTTAAAGTTCGTCTTCCTTGTTCATGAAGTTATGTATACTCTCTGACTTGGTTGTGTTGTGTATGTATTGTGTAGATGTAGATAATTCTGCCTTGGGTATTTTGCTGTAGACGTACTGGCTCTCTGACTTGGAGCACTGTGCAGTGTGACTCGGATATTTGCATCTACATGTTCACATCCTGCTCACTTATCTTAAATCTCGTATCTCTTAAAACATGCAGAATATGTTTTGATGTAACCCATTAGTCCATTCAAATTTTAGCTGTTTATGGAAAAATACTTCCTCTCCTTCCTCATTTAAAGTTGCTAGTGTTGTTTATCGATGTTTGGGGCAAAATTCTGCCTCGGTCTCGGTTTTCTGTATTGACATTAGCTTCTCAGAGTGTCCAGAATTGATGAATTCAGTTTTAACTTTGAAGCTTTTTTGTAGTTCTTAAAAACCTTTCTATTGGATAACACAACCTTCCTCCCTGTCACCTGCAACAAACATTCATATTCTTGCAAATGACTCACGGAATCATCAAAAGTGAACAATACACCCACTCATCACGTGGGTGCACAACCGCTGTAAATGTCAGATGTCTGCCCACCCCCTCAAGAAACAAACTACTCTTGAGCTGCTCCAGATCCCGTCTTGCCCACCCCAAAATCGGTGGCCGGGCCTTCAGCTTCTCTGCTCCCACCCTTTGGAACTCCATCCCACAGTCCCTTTGCCTCGCTGTCTCCCTTGCCTCCTTCAAGGTATGTCTCAAGACCCTCCTATTCTTGTTGTTGCTGCAAGATTTCTAAATACCTACCAAGCACTCTGAGTTCTACCACAATTTTGACATAGGCATGATCATCATGTTGAATAACGTAGCATGTGTAGTTCCCATTGTCTGATAAAGTCAGCCTTCTCAGTTGAAGTGAAGCATTTCCATTTAGAATGACTTTGGGAAACAGCTGTGTTCTTCCTCTGAATTTCTGATTCTGATACTCTGGATGGTCAACGTTACTGTAGAAACTGTGAACCACTGAGTTGTCGTCTGTCCCTTGCCAGTTGATGATCAGTTTCTCAGGATCAAGATTGGATTCTGGTGTAAAGAGACAGGGCAGCAATACATCTCTGCCGACGACTTCAGATATCATGTACAAAGACACCTCACCTAAAAAGTTACAAGTTGATATAGTTAATTACAGTGCTAGAATCCTAGTTAGTTTACAGCACTGAAAGATGATATCCACCCATCATGTATTTGCTTCCCCATTGAAGCTCTACTGTGATAGAAACATAGAAGCAGGAGAAGGCCATTCAGGACCTCAAGCCTGTTCCATCATTCTATAAGATCATGGCTGATCTGTATCTCAACTCCAATTACATGTCTTTGCTCCATATCCATAGCAATAGCTATTCCCACTACACATCACAGCTTAATTACTTTTACATCCTGTGAAGCATCTCAACAGCGTGGTTACGTAATCTTGTTGTTGTTGTTGTTAAGACACTCTAACAAATGCAAAGATTATTAATATTATTAGTGTTTATTTCTGTATCACGGTGAATTAAACATAAGTTCCTAATCATGGAACCTCGAATTCCCATAATCACTGGAAACTCAGCAGTTAAAGTATTAACTTGCAATTATCAACAAAGAAGGTAATTTTCAGATTTTTAGCCCATCATATTTACATACAACAACAACAGAATTACATTTGTATAGCGCCTTTCATGTCGGGAGGATGACCCAAGGCGCTGGACAGACAGAGTTACGGAGCCGAGCCTGGGGTGGGGGAAGGTGGAGGGCGGGGGGGAAGCGGGAAGATCGAAAGCACAGTCGAAGAAGGACTTGAAGATGGCGAGGGAGGTGGCAAGGCGAAGAGACAGCGGGATGGATTTCTAGAGGGTGGCTGCAGAGTGGGGCTAGCAAGGCGGGCGACGTGAAGTAGGCCGGAGCCTGATGAGCGGAGGAAGCGAACAGGGTGGTAGGCGGTTAGGAGGTCAGAGAAGAAGGGGGGAGTAAGGCCATGGAGGGCTTTGAAAGTGAGGACCAGGATCTTGAACTGTATCCTCTGTGTGATGGGAAGTCAGTGGAGTTGGACAAGGATGAGGGTGATAGGGATATACGCAGTACAGCAGAGAAACAGGCCATTTGGCCCAATGAGTCCATGCCGATGTGTACCCCACATGATTCTCTACCCATCACTTATCGCCTGCCATGCCCTTCTGTTCCCTTCTCCCTTACGTGTAGATCTAGCTTCAACTTAAATCCATTTATACCATCTGGTTCTACCACTGCTTCGGGCAGCTGGTTCTACATCTATGCCACCGTGATTTTTTTTGTATAAAGTTGCTCTTTTTATTAATCTCACTTCCCCCATATTCCTTAACATTTCACTCCACTTACCCAGTTCACTTTTACATGATCCTATTAAGTTGGCCTCAATAGCTTGTAATTAATTCCACACCCCAAAAACTCTCTTGGTGAAGAAATTACTTCAAACTTCTCCCCTGATTTCTCTGTTAACAATCCTTGTCAGTGATTCCTCAACTAAAGGAAACCTTTTCCCTATTTATTTTGTCATGTTTCAGAATCTTAAACAACTCTACAACGTCCCCTTTCAAACTCCTCTGGTCCAGTGAGAAAGCTTCAAGTTAACTCGCCTCACTATAAACGTAGTGTCCCGTACATCATGTGATCCTATAAATCTGCGCTGCACCCTTCCCATCTCCATGATATTCTTCCTGGAGAGCTAAAAACTGAACATGGACCTTCTAAATGTGCTCACCATTATGTGGACAAAACCACATGGATGATATTGATTAATGTGCTGTTTGGATGGATTTTACTGGTGAAGTATTGATAACGATTATTGATGGTGTTTCTAGCTTATCAGGTCATGGCAAGTCAGTTAAATAAATAGAAAAGGGATATCATACAGACAGATACACAGCATAAAGACTACACTCACCAAACAATGAGAATATCAATATTGTGAACGTTTTGTTTAAAGGAAATTCCATCTTTATTGGGAGATCTGCAATAAAGAGAATAAAAAGGGGTTACCGAGTGCCCTTTGATACAGTGGCTAAATCTGATGCGAGAAATAAAGAGATTTTCATCAAAGAGAATTAGGAACATGATGCACAGTGTCAGTGAGTGCGGAACCACACACGAGTTCTGAAACATTCTCGCAGGAGGAGCTGAAGAATCTGAAACAGAAAGTCGTTACCAGAATAGGATGATGGGGATAGAAATCTTGATCTGGTCTTGAACTCTTGATTGGCCTTGGTCATGAAAATGGAAATGTTTTGGACCCACATCAAACAAGCACCTTTGGCCTATTTGGAGGTCATGAAGTGACATCTAGATCATTAGGAGAGAGAATACAGGAATGAAACAAGCCGTTAGTATATTGACATGCAAGCCATGCAAACGTTTCTTTCAGTTTCAATGTGGTGCTTGTGTGAATCTGGTGATAATGAAACACAGAAAACAATCTTGTGGAGTCCTGTAGCTCAGTGGTTAGAGTACTCGCTTTGCAAGTGAGAGACCTGAGTTCAATTCCAGGCAGAGGGCCAAACCTTGGGCAAGTTTCCTTACTCCACACAGAGCCTAATAATAATCCCTCCAAAACCAAAAACAATAATAAATTGGTCATTTTCAATCTACGACTGTTTGTGGGACATTGCTGTGCGCAATTGGCTGCCGCGTTCGCCCACAAATATACAGTCAATTCACTTTACAATGTGTTCTGTGAAGCGCTTTGGGACGTCCTCCCGACGTGAAAAGCGCTATATCAAATGCAAGGATTATTATTATTATTATTATTTATGCAACTAGGATTTGGTCGCCCAATTCACCACCCAAGTGGATGGATTCAAATCCATGGGTCTGTGATTGATGCTGTACTTGGAAAGTCAGAGTATACAAAAATGTTGTTGTTTTGTGAGTATGGAGAGAAGACATGAACAGTGAATTAAAGGAATTGCGGTGAACTAATTTGAATGAAATGTAATGGAAATGGAATGGAATGAAAATCATAAGCAAGTATATCGACATACCAAGCCACGGATGTTTCTTTCAGTGTGTTTGTGACTGAATGTCTGGTGGTACTGAAGCACAGAAAACAATTTTTTTAAAACTTTTATGCAACTAGGGTTCGATCGCTCTCCAATTCAACACCCCAGTGGATGAGTTAAAATCCATGGGTTTTTGATTGATTTTATACTGTAAGAGCTATTGTGAGTATGGAGAGAAGACATGAAAAGTGAATTAAAGGAATTATCGTGAACTAATAGACTGGCGGAACCACCAGAGGAGGCTGTGTCGGCAGATGCAAAATTGTTAAGATACTTTAAGATTCACCTGAACAATTTTGGTGTAACTTCTCACAGAAAGGAAGGCACATCTGACAACATAATATTCCCTGCTCCCCTCAACCCGCTCTGCTTTAGACTGCCAACCACCTTAACTCTAAAAAGTATTCTCAGATTAGATTAAATTCTTGGTTTCATAGTTATTAACACATTAAAATGTCAGCTAAATTAAGATAACGAGGCACTATCAATTTTAGTGACTTTAGTTCCTGTATACATCCAGCTCTTCTGTACAGTGGATGCTCAGCTCGGGTATCGAGCACACTCACATGCAGATATTTATATTATATACTGCAGTATGTGTATTTTTTTTAATAATATTAAGACACACCCTTGAGTTCCTCTTGTTTCACTTTAAAACCAAACAAGGGATCAGTACCTTTATTGACAGTGAAACACACACCCACTGCCCTTCCTCGCCAAAATCTTAGAACGCGTTGTTGCCAATCAACTCCGCGCGCACCTCTCCTCCCGCTCCCTCTTCAAACCCCTCCAGTCAGGTTTCCTACCTTCTCACAGGACAGAGACTGCGCTTGTGAAAGTCTCAAACGACATCCCCTCTATCTGTGACCAGGGCTCCCTCTGCCTCCTCGTCCTGAACCTCCGCCGCATTCGGCACAGTCGATTACTGCAAGCAAGCAATTAGGAAGGCGAACGGTATGTTAGCATTCATTATGAAAGGGTTAGAGTATAAGAGTAGGGAAGTCTTACTGCAACTGTATAGGGCCCTGTGAGACCACACCTGGAATACTGTGTGCAGTTGTGGTCTCCTTATTTAAGGAAGGACGTACTTGCCTTGGAGGGGGTGCAGCGTAGATTTACTCGGTTAGTACCAGGGATGAAGGGGATGAGTTACGAGGATAGGCTGACCAATTTGGGCCGATATTCTCTAGAATATAGAAGAATTAGAGGGGATCTTATAGAAACCTACAAGATCATCAAAGGGCAATGATAGAGTAGACAGTGGGAGATTGTGTCCCCGGTTGGAGAAACTAAAACCAGGGGTTCACAACCTTAAAATCAGAGGCAGCCCTTTCGCACTGAGTTGAGGAAGAACTTCTTCACTCAAAGGGCAGTGAATGTATGGAACTCACTACCCCAAAGGGCTGTTGACGCTCAGTCCTCGAACATATTCAAGACTGAGATAGATTTCTTATTGCAAAAGGGATTAAGGGATATGGGGAGAAGGCAGCGTCAGGTCATTAGCTGGAGTTAGATTAGAAGATCAGCCATGATGAATGGCGGGGCAGACTGAAGGGCCGAATGGCCTACTCCTGCTCCTACATGTTATGTTATGACGCAATCCTCCTCCACCGCCTTTCCTCCGTCATCCACCTCAGTGGGGCCGCACTCGCATGGTTCGAGTCCTATCTCAGAAACCACCAGCAGTACATCTGCACAAACGGCTTCTCCTCCCGCTCTCACCCGGTCACCTGGCGGGTACCCCAAGGATCCATCCTGGGCCCCCGCCCCTTCCTAATCTACATGCTCCCTCTTAGGGATGTCATCCGCAGACATTGGGTACACTTCCACATGTATGTGGACGACACCCAACTCTATTTTTCCACCTCACTTTGCGCCCCCCCCCAGTCCCCTGATGTTCTGCCTGTCAGACCTCAGGGACTGGATGAGCGTAAATTTCCTTCAGCTGAACGTTGACACGACGGAAGCCGTACCCTTTGGCTCTCGTCAACGTCTAAAGCGTCTGTTTGATGATATTCTCACTAAAAGCCGTTTTCACAGCCATAATCTCCCTCGAGGCCTTCGTGCGGTTCTCCCACTGTCTCTACACGTGTGAACACCTACAAATGGTTCAACTGCTCCCCGTTCAGCAGCACACGTGTCCGTGGCCCGAGCAGACCCTCCGGGTCAGGCTCTGCTTTGGGGGTGTTGTTCTCCAACTCCCATTAGTGTTTATTTTCCCTGAAAGGACTTTCCAGTTTCGCTTTACTTTAAATTGGCCGTTGGGCCACATCCACAAAGCGAAAACACAGTCACTTTACACTTCTGACTCCCACCACCATCTGTGGATGAGAACTCAGCCTTGAGACCCCCCCCACCCGCACCCACACACCCCCCCACCCCACCCGTACCCCCACACACCCCCACCCCCACGCGTACCCCCACACACCCTACCGCACCCCCACACACACTCCCACCCGACCCGACACACACACCCCACCACGCGCCCCCCCACACCCCCCACCACCCGCATCACCCCACAAACACCCCCACCCCCACCGCACCCCCACACACTCCCCCACCGCCAACCCACACACCCCCCACCCCACCCCCACACACCCCCCACCCCCACCCCACACCCCCACCACCCGCACCCCCACACACCCCCCACCCCCATCCGCACCCTTAATACCCCCCCCCCGCACCCCACACCCCCCCCCCCCCACCCACCCCTCCCCGCACACCCCACCACCCGCACCCCCACACCCCCCCCACCCGCCCCCGTACCCCCCACCGCACCCCCACACCCGCACCCCCGCACCCCACACACCCCACCCCCGTACCCCCCCCGTACCCCCACACCCCCCACCCGCACCCACACCCACACACACAGCGCATTATTGCCGATTCCCAGCGACTACAATAAGGTACTCACCAGAAGCTCAGAGAGAGGGAGAGAGGGGGTCCCGGGGCTCAGGCACAGGGGGGTGGGGGGGGACACAGGGGGGGGGGTCCTGGGGCTCAGGCACAGGGGGGTGGGGGGACACAGGGGGGGGGGGTCCCGGGGCTCAGGCACAGGGGGTGGGTGGGGACACAGGGGGGGGGGTCCCGGGGCTCGGCACAGGGGGGTGGGGGGGACACAGGGGGGGGTCCCGGGGCTCAGGCACAGGGGGGGGGGGGGGGACACAGGGGTCCCGGGGCTCAGGCACAGGGGGTGGGGGCCGGGGCTCAGGCACAGGGGGGGGGGGGGGACACAGGGAGGGGGGGGTCCGGGACTCAGGCCCAGGGGGTAGGGGGTCCCGGGGCTCAGGCACAGGGGGGGGGGGTGGGGGGGGACACAGGGAGGGGGGGGTCCCGGGACTCAGGCCAGGGGGGTAGGGGTCCCGGGGCTCAGGCACAGGGGGGGTGGGGGGGACACAGGGGGGGGTCCCGGGGCTCAGGCACAGGGGGGGTGGGGGGGGACACAGGGAGGGGGGGGTCCCGGGGCTCAGGCACAGGGGGGGTGGGGGGGGGACACAGGGAGGACAGTCGCTGAGGGTTTGGGGTCCGCGAACCTCTGATCAGTTCCCCAATGTTCGCAGTCGGGAAACAAGGCTGTGGTGGGGGCGGAGCGGAGCGGTGATTGACGGGTTGGCGTCCAATAGGAAGCCGCGGCAGCTCCCGTTGGCCAATGGCAGGGACACGGGGGCGGGGCCGCTGGTGATTGACAGCTCCGACACTTTTGTTTTAGTTTTGTTTTTCCCCGAAAAAGCTCAATTGGAGTCAGAGGGACACCTCGGGCAGTGCCCCCACCCACACAGAGCCTAATAATAACCCTCAAACACCACAAACAATAAGAAATTGGTCACTCAATCCACGACTGTTTGTGGGACATTGCTGTGCGCATTGGCTGCCGCGTTCGCCACAAATATACAGTCAATTCACTTTACAGTGTGTCCTGTGAAGCGCTTTGGGACGTCCTCCCGACGTGAAAAGCGCTATATCAAATGCAAGGATTATTATTATTATTATTATTATTATATGGGGATAAGGCAGCGTCAGGTCATTAGCTGGAGTTAGATTAGAAGATCACCATGATTGAATGGCGGGGCAGACTCGAAGGGCCGAATGGCCTCCTCCTGCTCCTACATGTTATGTTATGTTATGACGCAATCCTCCTCCACCGCCTTTCCTCCGTCATCCACCTCAGTGGGGCCGCACTCGCTGGTTCGAGTCCTATCTCGATGCTGTGCGCAATTGGCTGCCGCGTTCACCCACAAATATACAGTCAATTCACTTTACAGTGTGTCCTGTGAAGCGCTTTGGGACGACCTCCCGACGTGAACAGCGCTTATCAAATGCGAGGATTATTATTATTATTATTATCTCATACTTGTGTTTCTCTGTGAAGTCTCGGTCACAAATAGGAACCACCTATTTGAAGCTGTGACACCGTGTTGTATTGGTGTCACTTGTGGCACTGCAATCAGTGCTGTCGCTCGGGGGGAGTCCTGTGGCTCAGGGGTTAGAGCACTCGCTTTGCGAGTGAGAGACCCGGGTTCGATCCCCGGGGGGTCAGTCAGGGCCAAACCTCGGGCGAGTTTCCTTACCCCACACACAGAGCCCTAATAATAATAATAATAATAATAATAATAAGAATTCCTCCAAAAAAACAATACAATAATAAATTGGTCATTTTCAATCCGCGACTGTTTGTGGGACATTGCTGTGCGCAATTGGCTGCCGCGTTCGCCCACAAATATACAGTCACTTCACTTTACAGTGTGTTCTGTGAAGCGCTTTGGGACGTCCTCCTGACGTGAAAAGCGCTATATCAAATGCAAGGATTACTATTACTATTACTATCTCAGAAACCACCAGCAGTACATCTGCACAAACGGCTTCTCCTCCCGCTCTCACCCGGTCACCTGCGGGTACCCCAAGGATCCATCCTGGGCCCCCGCCCCTTCCTAATCTACATGCTCCCTCTTAGGGATGTCATCCGCAGACATTGGGTACACTTCCACATGTATGTGGACGACACCCAACTCTATTTTTCCACCTCACTTTGCGCCCCCCCAGTCCCCTGATGTTCCGCCTGTCAGACCTCAGGGACTGGATGAGCGTAAATTTCCTTCAGCTGAACGTTGACACGACGGAAGCCGTACCCTTTGGCTCTCGTCAACGTCTAAAGCGTCTGTTTGATGATATTCTCACTAAAAGCCGTTTTCACAGCCATATCTCCCTCGAGGCCTCTCGTGCGGTTCTCCACTGTCTCTACACGTGTGACACCTACAAATGGTTCAACTGCTCCCGTTCAGCAGCACACGTGTCCGTGGCCGGAGCAGACCCTCCGGGTCAGGCTCTGCTTTGGGTGTTGTTCTCCAACTCCCATTAGTGTTTATTTTCCCTGAAAGGACTTTCAGTTTCGCTTTAGTTTAAATTGGCCGTTGGGCCACATCCACAAAGCGAAAACACAGTCACTTTACACTTCTGACTCCCACCACCATCTGTGGATGAGAACGCAGCCTTGAGACCCCCCCCACCCGCACCCCCACACACACCCCCACCACCACCCGCCACACCACCCCCACCCGTACCCCCACATACACCCCCACCACCCGCACCCCCACACACACCCCCACCCCCACCCGTACCCCACACCCCCACCACCCGCACCCCCACACACCCCCCACCCCCACCCGTACCCCACACACCCCCCACCACCCGCACCCCCCACACACACCCCACCCCCACAGACCCCCCACCCCTACCCCCACACACCCCCCACCCCCACCCGCACCCCCACACACCCCCCCACCCCCACCCGCACCCCCACCACACACCACCCCCACACCACACCCCCCACCCCCACACACCCCCCACCCCCATCCGCACCCTCACATACCCCCCCACCCGCCCCCCACACCCCACCCGCACCCCCCACCACCCGCACCCCCCCACCCCCCCCGTACCCCCCACCCCCACCGCACCCCCACACCCGCACCCCACACACCCCACCCCCCCGTACCCGCCCCCGTACCCCCACACCCCCCACCCGCACCCGCACCCACACACACAGCGCATTATTGCCGATTCCCAGCGACTACAATAAGGTACTCACCAGAAGCTCAGAGAGAGGGAGAGAGGGGTCCCGGGGCTCAGGCACAGGGGGACACAGGGGGTGGTGGGGGGGACACAGGGGGGGGGTCCCGGGGCTCAGGCACAGGGGGGACACAGGGGGGTGGTGGGGGGGACACAGGGGGGGGGTCCCGGGGCTCAGGCACAGGGGGGGTGGGGGGGGGGACACAGGGGGGGTCCCGGGGCTCAGGCACAGGGGGGTGGGGGGGGGACACAGGGGTCCCGGGGCTCAGGCACAGGGGGTGGGGGGGGACACAGGGGTTACCGGGGCTCAGGCACGGGGGGGTGGGGGGGGACACAGGGTCCCGGGGCTCAGGCACAGGGGGTGGAGGGGGGACACAGGGTGGGGGGTCCCGGGGCTCAGGCACAGGGGGGCTGGGGGGGGACACAGGGAGGGGGGGGTCCAGGGGCTCAGGCACAGGGGGGGTGGGGGGTGGACACGGGGGGGGTGCCGGGGCTCAGGCACAGGGGGGGGTGGGGGGGGGACACAGGGAGGGGGGGTCCAGGGGCTCAGGCACAGGGGGGTGGTGGGGGACACAGGGGGGAGGTCCCGGGGCTCAGGCACAGGGGGGGTGGGGGTGGACACAGGGGGGGGTGCCGGGGCTCAGGCACAGGGGGGGGTGGGGGGGGGGACACAGGGAGGGGGGGTCCCGGGGCTCAGGCACAGGGGGTGGGGGGGGACACAGGGGGTGGGGGGTCCCGGGGCTCAGGCACAGGGGGTGGGGGGGGTGGGGGGGACACAGGGAGGGGGGGGGTCCCGGGGCTCAGGCACAGGGGTGGGGGGTGGGGGGGGACACAGGGAGGGGGGGGTCCCGGGGCTCAGGCACAGGGGGGGGGGGGGACACAGGGGGGGGTCCCGGGGCTCAGGCACAGGGGGGTGTGGGGGGGTGGGGGGGGGGACACAGGGAGGACAGTCGCTGAGGGTTTGGGGTCCGCGAACCTCTGATCAGTTCCCCAATGTTCGCAGTCGGGAAACAAGGCTGTGGTGGGGGGCGGAGGGAGCGTTGATTGACGGGTTGGCGGCCAATAGGAAGCCGCGGCAGCTCCCGTTGGCCAATGGCAGGGACACGGGGGCGGGGCCGCTGGTGATTGACAGCTCCGACACTTGTTTTGTTTTAGTTTTGTTTTCCCCGAAAAAGCTCAATTGGAGTCAGAGGGACACCTCGGGCAGTGCCCCCACCCACACAGAGCCTAATAATAACCCTCAAACACCACAAACAATAAGAAATTGGTCACTCAATCCACGACTGTTTGTGGGACATTGCTGTGCGCAATTGGCTGCCGCGTTCGCCCACAATATACAGTCAATTCACTTTACAGTGTGTTCTGTGAAGCGCTTTGGACGTCCTCCCGACGTGAAAAGCGCTATATCAAATGCGAGGATTATTATTATTAT